CAGAGTAGTGAAGCACCCTCTCAGCAGTGATTTCTGTTGTTAACCTTGACCCACAGAACTACACCATCCCTCATCTCATAAACACAATTTTAGCTACACGTTTAGATAACATCTAATCGAAAAATTTACCTGTGGTGGCAAGATGAGAATAGCAAGGTAAGCATTGTAAAGCAAAACACCGATGGGTTAGAGAAAAGTGGAAGGTGTTCTTGAAATTGTAACTAGTGTTTACGCAGGATTTTTTATTTCAAGTAAGCCTTCGCACTAATTAATGAGATTTTCCTGGTTTCGTGGACCCCCTAGTCCGATGAACAGGTGCATGCAGCTACCCATTAGTGGCGGCAATAGTTTGATTTTAGACTACAGGCACCTAAGTAAACCCGCTCAATGTCCAATGTCTACCCCCATTCATCTAATATCACATATCTCACAAATACTCGTCGTAGTGAATCGTACGCTCGATAATATCACACGTGTTAATTAGTACTCACGTTAAATAATCCTCATTAAATACTTTATCTCGATATTGCCATTATTAGCTTATTTGAAGGTGTCTCTATTAGGCATGAAGTATGCGCCGACGAGCAGCAAAATTTGTACCGAAAAGCCACAGGTGTTCTTGCCGTCCAAGAGACGATTGACTTAGCTGCCTTCTGAATGAATAAGAATACAATTTTTTTATTTACACCAAAGTGGGCTGTTACTACAATTCTTCCGGGTGACGCTAATTTTTTTCTAGATGGAGACCAGGTGCATAATGTACTGGTTTTCAAAGAATCAGATTCCACCTTTGAACCTGTTATAAAGTTTAGTTGTGGAATCACGACTTTTGTTCCTAGATGGTTTTGTTGCCCAAAACTATGGCTTATCACATGATAAGAATATAAATTTCTCACAGCAAGTACAGGACGTTTCCTAAGACAGGTAGCATGGAAATGTGCTATCCTCCATCGATCCAAATAATATAACCTATCAATGCTTCGCAAACAAAATAAGAACGGTTCTCTTAGCAACGTCTTTGAAATAAAGCAAAATTATCTGCGTAGTAGCCCACCTATCGGTACTTTTGAAGTGGGCCACTCATGATACTGTTAATCATCTTTTAATGGCGCGTGGCAAGATTAGTTTACAGAAAACCCGTCCTATACTACTATATATTACAATCATTTTGCAAACTGCTTGAATACGGGAAACTTCATATCGCATCGTAATGAAGTGCAATAGTCTCAATTTCCAATACATTAACACGTTCTGGTTGGCTTATTGCCTCGTTTTAAGCATTTTCCAAGTACTGCTACGATGCTGTACACACATGGTGGTGTTCTGTGGACTATGTACACCGTTTCATCCATGTTTATGTATTGTCCCAAAAAGTAACGTTCCAAAATGGGGTGCCATTGAAGGCCAGTCTACTAGATTGTTTCCCCTGAACAATCTGACTTAACAGTGTCAAACAACAGACTCAAACCCAACATCGTATTCAAGAGTTTAAAAGGGATCCTTTGGAAAATATTAAAACGCGTGGCAGCAAAGGTCGATCATGCGCTATGAGCGGCATGAATAACCGAAACATGAAATGATTATTGTGGATACCAAAGGATCATCGAAGGCGCTTGATTGATAAGTCTTGTAACAGACGCAAATCGCTTGCTTAGACGAATGTTAGCGGACAGTCGAAAGAGGTACTACATTCATTCCTACTTAGCCGCGTGAATATCATTTGTGGGTCTAAATCGAGCTTACGATATAGGTGCATTTGGGTAGAGGGTATTTTTGAGGGATAAGATTCGACGTCGACAGCATAAAAGATAATTACTTATGGCCGTTTTTATGGATCCGGCGAGTCCGAGTATAAAAATTCGTTTTGTATAGTTTTGCAGACGTTGCGAATGTCGGCAGCGTACACTCGTAGAGCTGTAGATCGGAGAAGGAATCGTGTTCAACATGTTGTATGTAGCGATATATACCGCGTGCGATCACTTCGGTGCGCGGTGGAGCAACATGGGATATGGGCACATTAGGTACGGAAGAAAAGCGCAGACGAAGCACTTGTCGAACACCACCCTCATTTTTCCGTACTCAGCTTGACAATATAGGCTTTCGAAGGCATTTTTTTGATATGAAACTATTTTACTTGAGCATTCTGGCCTACACGCGAGCCGGTTCATGACGACGAAACATGAGCTTCATGAGGAAAATCATGATACCCCACAGTGTTCAAGAAATATGCAATATTGTGTGGCTATTTAAACGTATTATTTCGCAGGATCGAAACGCGCAAGACTGACTCTTTTTTTGAACACTTCACCTGTTGCTTCTATGGCGACTTGCGTTTCTTTGAAAACTGTGTGGCTTTATAACCTTCCGAAGTAGTTACCCGTTAATTTACTTTGTTTCTTCACCAAACAGATTTAGCGCTGTCATCAAAGTATAACATTTTCTCGAAAGGCAACACTACGTCTTGATTTATTTAGGGAATGGTGCGTTTAGTCATTTACCGATACTTCCGAATTCAATGAACCTCTGAGTCAAGGCCTCATGCTCTATTGCCGTAAATAATGATGCGAAAACGCTGCTGTCTGTTTCGGAATTTAGTTGAGGAATGATGGGGAAGATGAGTTTCTAACTGCCAGTTCATCAGGGTGTTTTTGTCAGAACGGCAACATGAAGTTACGGCAACATCCCTTAAGACATTTTCTACTGAATCACTTCTATTTCAGCCTTTGTTTCAGAAATTTTATCAGATGCTCCGACAAATATGCACGAATTCCTTAGGGCAGTATGGCTATCTGTAACATTCATATGATACTCGAGCACCCGATACAAACACCTGCCATGACATGACTACAAATAAAAATGTGGGGGTCAACAGAGAGGTGCATCCTGCAAAATGCAATACTGCTTTCCGTCACACTGCTTTAATAGATAATTATCCATAATTTTTCTTTTTTTTTTCATCTAAAACATAATTTTCATTTATTAAAAAAAAAACAGTTTGAAAAAGTGAGATTATTAGCACTAGGCAAAATCTAGGGACAATGTATTTTCAATCTGGTTCAAGAAAGAACCTCTTTGGGGTGCGACATCTGTCAGATGATGTATTATAACATCAATTAGACTTAAACGGTATGTTGTCCTGTCTTGTCAGTATTATAATGTGAAATGTATTCGTAAAATAATAATTCTAGCATTAACAAGGCGGATTATAAGTTATTATTATAAATCATATTACATAGCATCTGTGGCCTTTCGTGACAACGAACGTGCACATATCATAAATATATGCAATGAAGATTTTGATAAAGTTGAGACCCTTCGTTATATCGATGATCACACGTTATGATCTACCTCAATGCGCATGAGCGGAACTTTATTCCGTCATAAATTGGATTCGAGACGATATTTTACCTCTATTGAGATAGTAGATGCATGCTGGCATATATTTATCCCAAGAAAGCTATCTACTGAATTCGAATGCGCTAAGTTGGCGAACGGTGGAGACGCAACGTATAGCAAACGCTTGTTAGGAAGAATGAAAGATGTTTGCTAGGGAGCCGGCGCAACGAAAGAATCCCGCAGAGCTATCAGCCTCATTGCAATATATTCATCCTCGTGTATGTGTACAAAAGTGCAGTCAATTTTAGACGATCCAGCAGGATTTGGGTCACAACGAGTACGCGAGCACCACAAGCGATTTATGGCGATCGAGTCCGGCGACCCAAAAAGAAATCAATAAAGATGTAAGGACTGTCGCTATTATGTGCATCAACAATGATTGCTGTCGCAGTGGTTGATGCCATCATGTCATACGACTTCGTGCTGCTCGATGCTGCGAAGATATTTACATGATTTTCCTGAGAAAATATTAAGGATAGCGATCTGTTTTGGCCAAGGAATACGAAGTGTTGAAAAGGCAAGAGTTGGGTGAAATGGAATGAAAGACCCAGAGTGAGAGAGTGAAGCGGCAGAAGTGTGGGAAGGCAGCGAAGAAAAACAAAAACGATAACAACAAAATGCTCGCGAACGCGTATTGCTCGCACAATTATAGTCCAGCGAAGATATAGGTATATATTTAAGAAAAACTTTTGATGACAACACGCGTTTTATGTGTTCTTGTATTCCTAGAGTGATTTAGATGCTTGACACCGCTCGTTTATACTTCAACACTACACATTGATATATTAAGTCGCAAGACATTATACGACAAGGACATAAGCCTAGCGTATGGGAAACTCCATTTTGTAATGCCTAAAATTCGATAATAAGCAACCCAAGACAGTAAGAAATAGAAGCTGCTTTTAGCGTTTAAGGAATACGCCAGAAAAATAAGCATCGAGACCGTAACTCGTTCATTTAAGTGCCTTGACTTATGCGTGTACTTATAGAAACGCGTTGTTTAAATCTGCCGGCGCTCCGATTCGTGCGAAATTGGCTTAATTTCCACGAGCCAACTTTACTTACTAAACCCACTTTGATAAAAATGTTTAATGCATGGGTCACTATATATATATGTATACAGAGACGTTTAATCGCGTAGGGTACGTCCTCCTCCTTGAATCCTGGAATGTTTATACTATAAGTGGCCAACATATACCATAGATATACATCTGTCAACCAAGCTGGTCGCTGGTCAAATTAGAAATCTTCTTTGCCTCGAACCTTCCTTACACGCAGCGACATAATAGGCTTTAATTTTCTAAAGTGTCGAAGGCTGCCAATAGTCAGAACATTAGCGAACAGTTATCTATTCTACGCTTATACCTAATGACATTGTTCTAAATATACCTGCTGCACATGTGGCAAACACTGGTTTAAATAGTTTCGCCATAACTTCATTATGTAGTTATGATTTAAGCATCTGTTGAAAGATTTTGAAAAAGTGAATTTTTTGATCGAAGACAAAATTTAGCTATTATTACCCTTTAAGTGTGATGTAAACCGCAGTATCGTATCATGTCTCATTCCCCATACGGAGTACAATGAGGTTTCAGGCAACTCACCGATTATTGTCGTAACAGAGCCGTGCTATTGCCCAGATCGCCACCCAAGGCAGCGGAAGACCTGCATAATTAACATATGACAATATAACAAAGCGGAACATACTTTATGGACGGATAGTCGTATATACGCGGCGTTGAAAACTGAAGGAAAATTCTAGCTCAAGTAGAACTCAGTTCAAATCTTATTAAAAATAGTACTCGATCCAGAAAGTTAAACTGTGGAATATGCATATGTCTAGTAACGCAAAAATAACTTTTTAAAAAGATAAAGCCATACGCATTTTGGGAGTACGATCTTTGATTAAGGCCAGCTGATCATAGACACAGGTTTTTTCTATTAATGCTTGTCAGATATTACAACATATACTAATCGCCTTATAATGTTCCGCTCAAGACGCTACCGTAGATAGCAAAGTATAATGCCTTTCCAGTTCTACGAGTTTTGTTCCCTTCAACTTACCCCAGCCCATGACTATGTATTTTGCAATTTTCGAATTATCAGCGTAAACCGACATGAAAATGATATTGTAGAGATAGAGGCCTTCCATCAAAATCCAACAATAATTGGCCATCAACGAGTAATGAAACGAAAGCGTGAAGATGCGACAACTGATGAATTCCTGAAAAAAAAATTACCTCATAAGTTACCGCAGTCATTACCTTTTAAACGAACCTATATCACAACAATCTGCTTAGTAGACTATGGATATTTGGATTATAATATTTTAATCATTTACTGGCGATATACGAATGGCAAATTATTTCTTCTATAGATTTCAACATTTATTTCAGGGTAGATCGATTTCTATTTGCATGTATACGTCTGCCTTACATGACTATTGAAGGATGTTATGCCCCTGGTAAAATAGAGATGCTTAAATACCAGTACAGTACATCGAAGGATGAATGACGCAGACAGATGTAAATGTAATTTGTTACGAGCACACCGTAAACGTCTGTAATTAATCAGCGAAGTAAAACTACATCTTAATAACACGAAAATATATAACTATATAACAATAAAAGACTTTAGGCGACCCCTCTAGCACACTCTATAATGAAATTGAAAAAAAATTATCTAAATACGAAACTGACGGTATCAAATCAGTGAAGACAAAACAACAAATAGACGAATGTTCGCCTTGTTAAGCGCGTTTTTGCGTGATTTCCAATGATATCATGTTATCCATGACCTCATGCTTTTTTTAAATGAAGACAGAAGCGTTACAGTACTCCATCGTAGTCTTCTTAACCTTGTTTGGGATTAGTATATATTCTGCTATTATATCGTTGTTATGTTTTTGACGTAATATAAAAATTAAGCTAATTCTGGTTAGTACAATATTGTAAAGCTTAACTGTCGTCGTTATTGTCGAAAACATCGATATTGTAGATATGAGCTTACCGGCCTGCTAGGCAATGTTTATAAATAAAAGCTATTCAACATTATCTCACTTCCAGGATGGCAATTAATTGTAGAACAGCAGGAGATCATAGCATACTGTCTATAGTCATTGTTTCATACGACAGTGCATCTTTTTTTTGGCCTTAGAGCAGATTGTGTGCCAAGAAGGTCTGAAGTAAAAGCATCTGCTTTTTTCTTTTTCTAGACTGGAGGTCGTAAACAAGACTGTATTATAAGTACATGCGTCTCCAATGCACCTCATGCGTTACTGCAACGTTTTAGCAGAAACTAAACTAGATGACCCAGAGTACTCCTATTAATGGGAGATAAACCAACGCAAGAAGGGTGCCTCTTTAGCTTGTACAACGAAGGACTAGGTTGTCATTTGTTAGCTGGTATTTAAGTATTCATAGAAAGTATCGTTCGTCATTATATTTATGTTAGTAGCAATGAGCCGTATAGTAACGCGTTACAAATCTCGAATGTAATTCTGTTAAACAATAGCTTTGACATCGTGAACTCTTCTGGCATTTTCTGATTTTTTAATTAAATCACAGAATAACCTTCAGTTTAAAGCGGTGAAAAAGTAACGCTTGTCTCTGCTTTACATTTTAATCTGTTATGGATCGAGTGTACAACATGCATTACAATTAGCGTCGTTTACCTAACACGAACTCAGTTACAGGTATTCAAGGTTACGAAACTGCTATCTCTTTTTGAAAACGAACTTAAACATATTCGTTTGTTTCCAAAACTTACTTAAGAGAAGTTAGAAGAAAAAAAGCCAGTATCAGTAAAAAAAGAGACGATGAATAACCGATAAGTGAAATTCGATTTAGTGTCGAGAGGTGACCCTGCAACGTATGAATGTAATCATAGTAGGCCTGTTCAAAGCACGCTTCGTACTTTGCAATACTCCATACACCGTGTGTGCTGCAAGACCGTTCCACCATATCTGAAAACAGGCCATGAAAAATCATTGTCATAGTGGTGGAAATCATGGCGGTCATTTCTCCAATACATTTATACGATTCCAAGGTTAAAATAGCGGGAACTGTTTCAAGTACGCTTCCTATAAAAGTGATCTATAATAAAATTCAATCAGTTTGAAAGTCTAATTATATTTGACTTTTTTGTATGTTTTGTTTCCACCTGTTGGCACATAATGATAGAAAGCGTTCACATGTTGACTAAACTTAAGTTGTTGACAAAAATGCGTCTCTCTATATCATTTAGATTATCTGGGCGCTGCATTTATTTTCACTGGAAGATCAGTACATCCTACAGTTGCTCCATCGAGGGCGTCAAATATAACGCTTCCCAACAAAACAAAATGCAAATACACCGTACTACTGACGTAATTCACACAATTTAGTCTACATATTTTGTCTCTGACAGGTACTTCTTCTTTGTATTGTAGAATTTTCTGTCCTTCGCTTACAGTTATTTGAATTTGGTTAGCGAAAGAATGATGAAAACTGCAATTGTCATTTACCATCTTGGAAGTTATCGACTGTATATTTAGAACTATTAAATTTTTCTTTTAACCGAAAGGCTTGGAACATAAAGTTACCATCTCGAGAACGAGGAAGCGGATGCCAAACTAGGCTAACATTTCGTAAACGTTAAACGAGACATAATAGTGAAAAGCTACTGCCAGAACAAAGTTACAACGGTGTTTTTTTGTATTGATAACAAAAAAGTTCAGTGTCGACTTTGCGCATGTTTTCCCCAGGGTCCTTTCTTTATACAACAGACACATCAAATGCCCTTTAACAGGACAACTTTTACTGTAGCTTGAAGTGCACGAACGGTACGGAATAGCAAGAACACGCTGCAATTTAGAAAGAATATGGGACTGCTCCTACACAGGTTACGTTAAATACGCAAGTGAAATTCTGAAATCAGATTGTCATCACATACTGCAACGCGTCGGTTATAATGTCTTTGGATGGACAAGGCTAAGTCTGTTGATCCAATACGATTTAACAACTGCGACTATATCGTTCCGTTTTACTCGGCCATCTCGGCCGGGCGGTATGCCTTCAGTTCACCGCTACGGTTACTACACGTCTTACGCTTTGCGTCGTTGTCTCAGTTCAGGGGAAATTCGATTATTTGTGATGATTGAGACCTTAGAATACGGCGCAAGTTTTTGTGAATAACGCTGTTCCACTGGATCATGCTAAGGGGTGCAGCGAGCCCTCCAAATCGTCAACGATGTTTCACTTTTCAGAAGGTTTCCCAAGCTGTAACTCAGGGAATCTGTTGTAGCGTCTAATGAATGGTTCCACGGCCGTCCGTAACGGTCTGCCTTTGTTCTCGCATGTAGTTGGCGAGAAAATGCCATAGCTGACGAAGCGTTGCCGAGCTCGCATTCCTCGCTCCTATAAAATCATGTTGTTTATTCGTGCATAGCCTCAAAAACGTTAACGTGAACCTTGTCAAAGCTTGAAAATATCAGCGGCCCGGCCTACCGCGTCAGTACCATACGTAACTCCTGTACTCCAAAATGACGAAGCGTATCCTTCACAACTTTTCAGCCCTCCTTGAGTACGCTCATCATTGGCGATTAACTCACTATTTAATGTACTGCAGGTTCAGTGAGTGGCGTTTGGTTTATGAATGACATACGTCCACCTGGCATGTGGATGGTGCTTACAACGCGAGGCTAAAATCCTGGTTGCAATACTACGCTCGAAGCTGTTACTGTCCTTTCGACAAGTAGTCCCGGTCTGTACAGATTAGTATTGCATATGAATTAACTCGTACTGCTATGATCAAATTAGCAAAAGGGACCTAATTTGCCCTCTAATGCACGTTCGCTACAGATACTTCAAGGTCGGGCTCTACCTCCACTTATATACAAATACTCTGCTTCAAGTTCACAAATGTGCGTTTCTACGCCTTGACGAGTTTCAAAAGCTAACCTCTTCACCCGGAAAGCCATCCGCAAGTTTGTACTTGAATCCCTGTCACGTATCAGTTCCTACCACCTCGCGATCATACCGTACCAGCGCGGCTTCCCTGAAGTACTTCCTGATTCTCTGGTTCAGGCCATTGTCCTTAAGCTTATTCTTAACCTATTCGACGCTACTCGATCCAGTTTCTCGGTTTGCTATCGTTAGACTCAACCCCCCGCTTCGTTCCTTCTTCACTGTGGAGCTCTCACGAAGTCACGTTGCATTTCGTCTATCCAACCGCTGCCACCACGCCGACTACAGTTCGCTTTTGGTTGAACTATACAGGCTTTTTCGAACTTTCCGGTACGCCCTGAATACATTCATTTATTGTAATACCGAAGATCTATTTCAATGTGTGAGTTGATTCTAAGATGTTCTTAGTGCAAGACAAGTTTAAATATTTTTAACCATATAAACTTTTGTTTACATCGAACTTAACATATCAAGTCTACGTAGGATACCCTTTTAGAAAACACAACGTTTCGCGTAGCGGAATCATTACTGGAGTTGCTATTTAACGATCTTACTCAAAATGGTACACTTAGTGATCCCCACAATTCAGAAAATAAGCCCGAGGAGCGTCTTATTAATTTAACCATCAGGAGTGGCTACTGATATTGTAAATAATAGTTTCGTTTGCCGAATATATAAGAGGGTACAAGGTCATCCGAGCCTCTTCTTAATAACGGAGCTTTTTGTGTTACATGATGCAACGTTTGTTTATACATCTATAAAAACAGCCTTATATTATGTCATGTGTCTATTACAGGTCATCTACGAGGAAATTTTAATAAGCCTTTCTACATGACTTCTAGCTGTCTCACAGAAAGCAATTGGCTACATGTTTCCTGTTGTTAGGGTAACAGGATCAAAGACAGCATGGCAGAAAAAGTACAACTAATTTGATTCCGGCTTGCCCAGCTTTGAACGGTTTTTGTTATGTCAGATCAAAGCCGTTTTAAAAGCACTAGCAGAAATTGCACTGAACGAAGAGCCTGTCGATTTACCGTAAACGAGTTACGATGTTTAAAAGGAAAGTAAAAATTTTAGTAGCCAGTGATCGGATATCGCAGTCTTATTGTTACTAACATTTCAAACCAAATCCATAAGAAATTAAAGAGGCTAAATCCTTAATAGATTATGACAGATAGATGTTTATGCTTTTCTAATATGGTGCAGCATAGTATTCTCGGTTTTATTCTAGGAAGCTTGTAGTAATACTTCAGCTTACCTATCTGTAAGTACCAGGACATCTCACTTGAGTGACTGCCGTTGTTAAAATTTAAAGGATAAAAGAAGTTATAAAACGTAACCAATAAACGATGTCGTTTCCGACAGACATCAAAAAGTCGTGTGCTAACTAGCCAAATTCGAAACGGGGATAATGTTCGCACTCCAGTTGTTGGCTATCCTATACTAGGACCTGCATTTTCACGTTGAATTCTACTTTCTTATTGTTTAACCGTCTCTCTGGCTCTCTTAGCTGTAACTTGGATTTTGACCGATTTCATTTACTCTATCCTGTTTAACATAGAACTATATCATAAATTAGAACTACTGAAACAATTACAGCTTAGGCGCTTAAAGTTGGTGATCCTACACTCTATTCTCTTCGATCATCGCTAAAGGTTCATCCTGAAGACCACGAAGACGAACTTATACTATAGTTGTTTCGCCATGTCTATATTTAGGTTTTACAATGAACCTTCTCCACGAAGCTTTGCAGTCACAATCAATTTGAAACACGATGAACCGACGTTTTTGTACTTGAAACAGTTATTCCCCTGCTTTCTAAAAAGACCTGAATAGTAGTGTCGTTCAACAACGGTCAGAATGCCATACCGAGACTACGAGAAGACCAGGAAGCTGACAAGTTTTGATAAGGTTGAGCCTTTGCATAGGTGAAAATGATTGACGTCGAAGAACCAGTTCACACGATCTAAAGGTAGGGAAATATGCATATGTTGGAGTCGTGAAGTATGTAAAGTGTGCGATATTTCTGCCCATAAACGTTGTTGGAATTACTAGCGTTTCAATAGGAGAAGAACCAGGATAGTTTCCAAGGTTTTTGAAAGGTTAGGCCATGTTCCTTCCTTTTTTACTTTGAGCAACGCCCTTGAGGAAGCTCCTTAGCCTTCAGAATAAAAGTTTGAAAGGTGGACCCCTATAATCTCTCTCCGTGGTCGCTGTGAACTGACGTCAGGTGTTCTATTGATTCGAGTCGAAAACTATAATATTTCAGTTCCCACTTTAATCGAATCGAGAAAAGTTGTGCAGAATAACAGTTAGTCAAGCAAACTTGTTCAAAACGAAGTTTGAGATCTATTTCTTTTTCAAAAGTCATTTGTTGCTAACACGATCACTGTCAGATTTTTAAGCAAACACCGTCACCAGCTGTGGCCATATTCGTGAGTACTGCCAAGGTTAGTTCAAAAAGCCATGGACGATTGATACGATTTTTTAATTAGATACAACATAAAAATAATTCTATTGTAGAAAGGCTAGCAACTATAGGGTATTTACCTAGATAACAGATGTTCAATGTTGTTAGGTTTCGAAGCAATGCCTAGAATAGTTTAAGAGTCAAATCGCTTGACCGGATCGATAAACGTGATTCGGAGTAATTAGCTTTCGTGCGCCATGGAGCCTTAGTCGTTGGTGAGTGGTGCACGATAATAAAAGCTCAATGAGCGACATTTGTGAAAACTTGTTCGTTGTTGTCTACCCATTGACGTTGTTTAAGCCTTGGCGCGTTCGAGAGTGAGTTCATACTGTCATATGTCAGCCATCAATTAGGCCTCTACCGCGTACATGGAGATTATTGCCTATGTGATAGAAGAACAGATGAGCATGTAGTGCATTTGTACGATCAGGTTAAACAAAATAAGGAAGTGCATAACCTTGTATATTAGTGAAAAAAAAAAAAAAGATGAACCACTATAAATTTAATATATCGTCACAAAAATACCGAAATGAGACAGCTCGTATGAAT